GATGGCTTACCTGTGTCCTCAGTTTGCACCTGAAACTCCAATTTCCTTCCTGGACCTTCACTTGCCCCAGATCCTCCTATGACCAGACAACGTCCCATTCTTGAACTAAATCCCTTGCCCTGTAGACAGCTCACAGTGCTTCTGTTTTCTGAGTGAACCCTGAATGATTCAAAATGCTATGCCACACCAGGGAAAGAAACTTCCAAGTGGTGAGTGATTGAGAGAACAGTTTCTACCCCTGGAAACCAAATAGTTGCTGATTATTATCATGTCATTATTAACTAGTGATGATAGCAGCTGGCATTTAATGGGCACCCACTATATGCCAGACACAGGGCCATATACGCCTTGTGCCATTTACTCCTCACAAAAACCTTCTGAGGTAGGTTCTTGTCCTATTTTGCAGGTGAGAAAGTTTTTAGAGCTAGCTCAATGCTGAAAATGTATATTCTTGACTATACTATTTTCATAAAATGCTCCTGCACATGTCACACATTGAAATTATCTGTTTACAAATCAGTGTCCTCTACTAGAATATGACATTTCAAGGTCAGAAAGAACCTATTTTTAATATCTTCAGTCTTAAAGACAGGGTATGAAAACCAGAAGTTCTATGATAAATGTTTGCTAATTAAACTGATGAATAGAAGGAACAGCGGTGAGAAATGTGGCCGGTGTTAGTACTTCTGGTTATAAAAAAAAGGCAGTGAATCTTGCGACTGACATTTGTTTGCTCACATTTCCAGGATGGGAGAGTAGCTACATAAAATAATTCAGAAAGAATACTGAGGAAGCTTATGCTATTGATGGGAACAATGGTGATAAAAAGGAAACTTTGTTATCCAGATCACTTCACATTTGATGGGAGGTCGGGAACAGCAGGGAAGGACATTCATTTTATAGAAAAAGCCTGTAGTACCTCGGAATGCGGCATTTATTTTTTAAGGAGTGCATACACCTACTTGGCAGTAGGGGGAGCAAGATGCAGGGATATCTAAAATTTTACAGTGGACATAAAAATGTGAAGACAACTGAGGCATCTAGGGATAAAAGCATGGGAAAGTGACTTGACAGAAAGCAGTCTGAAATGGAGTATTGATATATTTTAAATACTGACCCCTTAATTTAAAATAGCTTTGAATTGAATACATGAAAGCGTGGGAGGGTGAGAGGGAATGGGTGATGAGAAATTACTTAATCGGTACCAGGTACGTTATTCAGGTGACGGACACACTAAAAGCCCAGACTTCACCACTATTCAAGATATCCATGTATCAAAATTGTACTTGTACCCTTTAAATTTATATGAATAAAAAATCAAAATAAATCAAAATGGGTTTCGAAATTTCTCAGTAGAGTCTTAGCATTCTAGGGCACACTCAAGGGAAAATTGGGCAATGATCAGTATGGGTGTTCAATAAGGAAAGAGCAGGATACATAGCTTTTTAACCTAAATTAACAGTTGACATTTGTTTGGTTCACTTAGGCTCATAATACTATTATGGTAGGCATAATGAGAATCCAAACAATTTCTCATGAAAACCAAAATATAATATAAAAACTCATTATAGAATTCATCTAGTCTTCTGTATTTTCTTTGCTAGTATAAATATAATCAACTTCATTTCTAAGCCTGGACCATATCCAAATTTTATGCCATACACATTTTATTTTTGAATTTTTCAATTTTTCTTAAGATCACAGCCTGTGTAATTAGAACTATGGCATACGTGGCTTGTCAGTCCTACTATCTGCTTGAAGCGGAGATTTTCTTGCTTTGCTGTGTGATTTATTCTCAAAAGTATTTAGTTTTGTTCACATACTTCAAAATAAATCAGTAAGTAGTTACAAAGTTGACTTGCTTTAAGTTTCAGTAGTTCATTCATTGATATATATGTATGTGTGCACCTAAACACTCACTAATCACACCTCCAGGATCTCCTTCAGCCCATAACATTTCTTCTCAAAATCCCAAGTATCCTTCCCCTGATACTTTTATCATCAATTCTAATTTTTATTGCAACAGCCTGATTCCCAAATCTGCAATTCAGTCCAAGACTCAGAAATCAATCTCAAGCAGACATACTAGTTTTAGACATGATGGCAAGAATGTTTCGGATTTTAACAGACAATATTCCCCTTCTTGTGCCTTTAAAATTATAAGGAGTGCATATAAATTAAAAGATAAAATGGCTGCATTACTCCTTCTGAGACCCAACCTAGTATCTTATTGCTATCTTTCCTCCGTGACTTAAATGTGCTGAAAGGCCAGGCGCGGTGGCTCAAGCCTGTAATCCCAGCACTTTGGGAGGTCGAGGCGGGTGAATCACGAGGTCAAGAGATCGAGACCATCCTGGTCAACATGGTGAAACCCCGTCTCTACTAAAAATACAAAAAAAAAAAAACAAAAAACATTAGCTGGGTATGGTGGCGCGTGCCTGTAATCCCAGCTACTCAGGAGGTTGAGGCAGGAGAATTGCCTGAACCCGGGAGGTGGAGGTTACGGTGAGCCCAGATCGCGTCATTGCACTCCAGCCTGGGTAACAAGAGCAAAACTCCATCTCGAAAAAAAAAAAAAAAAAAATGTGCTGAAAGACGTCGGTAAAAGAGAAAGCATTGAAAGTATAGATGTTTCTTGCTGTTCAGGTTGCCCTTTCTAATCTTCATGAATGAAATCAGAGAAGAATGAGGCAAGCCTGTGACACTTCCCGGATCTCATCATTTTCAGTGGCTAGAAAACACTTTGCATTCAACCCTCCACACCAGGGGTGATAATCCAAACAGCCTTTTGGAGCTGGAATTTTCTATCAAAGGACTATGGGAGCATTATCTAAATAATTATACCTCCCCACCATTGTGTAAACCAGTTTAATTAACATTTTTCAGGCATGTCACAATTATACAAGCACTAAATAATTTTCTAAAATTATGCTCCATTAAAAGTTGCCACATATCAACTTGGATTATTTTTACTCATGGCCCTAATCATGTCTGAATTTTATTTTCCTTTTTATATCCCTTCATTTATTTATTTTTTTTACTATAATTTGGTCTTCCATTGAAGATGATTGATACTTACAGGCTAGCCAGATGCTTTGTTCAATTTATTTTTCAAATGTTGCATTTAATTGCCCTTGACTTAATGAAAGCTGGCATTTTTTTTTCCAGACAGGTATAGCATTATTAAATGTCCTTTGCATTCAGTTTATAATTAAAAAAATCTTGGAAAGCATTCACCACCATCTCTCTGACTTAGTCAGAATATCCTCTGTGAATAAAAGAAACGTTCTAGTGTCCGGCATCCATGGGATTTGAGGAATAAGGAGGTTGCAAACACGCACTTTAATTGTGTTTTGGCTTTTCAGCAGCACATGTTTCAAGAAGATATCAGTCAATTTACTCTCTATTTGACAAGATATAAAAAAATTGGGAAGCAAACAATTAATATATTATTAGTACTCAAATTACTTTTTGGTCTTTTTAAAGCCTATTGTTATTATTATTAATTACTATTACTATCTTTATAAATGCATTCTTTTTCTCTAGAGTAGTAATTTCAAGCAAGACTAATAAATCAAGAAATGTTCCCAGGCATGAAGCTGAAATAAAATTAGGAATACAAATAGATGAAATTGTACAATCAAATGAGCAAGCACTCACGTCATATTTAGTGCTCTGTACACATTGAGCTGCATGGTTACATAAGCAGAAGGATTAGTATTTAGGTCATTAAATTAGTCTTTTGAATTTTCTTGCTCTTTATCAAGAATTTATTTGCTTCCTGACAACATTTACCACGCCATATTAACCGCAGTACTTTATCTACCAGTATTTCCAATGTTTAAACTTCTTACCAATAAATATAACTCTACGGAAGAATTATTAGTGGCTCTGACAATAAACTGCAACTGATGGTATCTATTAAATTTTATCTATAATGCAAAGTGATTTTGCAGAATTCTCACTTTCATGGATTAGAAAACACATTTTAAATGTTTGCCTTGGCTGCATTTATGCATTAAAAAGATCTTGACGAAATCAAATAATTATGTGGGGAATTCAAACTAACAAAATTATACTTTTGTTAACAAAATTACATATTTTTTTACTTTAATAGAACGCATATATTGAAAAGCAGGTTTTTTTGGCCTATATCTTTTTGTTCGCAGCTTTGTGGGTAAACAAACTATTAAGCTGCATTCATACTTTATTATTCTGGCCAAATCTGTTTTCAGTGACTATCTCAAGATGACTGGCTGTTTAGAAATCAAAAGGCATAGTGTTTTTGGTGCCAGTTCACAAAGAATACTCATACACATTTGCAACAGTATGTCTGGGTCTTAAATAACCTTTCCTTTTGCTATGAACACATACTCGAGGAACAATAAAAAAGGATGTTTATTATTAACAAAGATAAATTGTGTTTCCTCTGATACAAATGATGCTGCAAAATTGATGTCAAAATCTTTAGAAATACCTTCAGTTATCATGTCTAGATTCTGAAAAATGATCTGTGGCTTGATAGAACAAGCCCCAAGTTTATGCTGTCTTCAGTCTTCACGGAACATGGATCAACACACTTAATCCATGATCTGTGATCCATACAATGTTATCAAGTGACGGAGTCTCCTCTCAGCTTTACCTCTTTATCCACACATCTGGAGAAATAATTTCCAGAATTTGAAATTTCAAATTAAATAGTAAGTTTAAAGCAATATATAATTCAGGAAAAATCATTCTTGCTCATAAAGATAGCTTAGGTCCAATAAGAATTTAGTTTGTTACTTCTAGGTACTGATACTTCTCAGTTAAGAAGCCCTGCTAGTGAAGGTCAGTTAAAAATGAATCATTAAATATAGAATGTAGGTGTATATAATTTGATTATTTTAATGCCAAAACCATCTTAATTTTAATTTCAAATATCCTTCTGCTACTGATAAAGGAGACATCTATTTTTCTATCTCTGTAGTTACAGACATATATAGTTTTGTTGTTGTTGGTTTTTCCAAAATAAACATCTCTATGTCATGGAGATACTAGGGAATAAATATCAATTAACTTATGGAAATCTAGCTTGTTAAATTTTGTTTTGCCTTCTGCTTATGCTGGCCCCCCTGGCCAACACACCTTTCCAGGTTTTTGTATCTATCTGACATTTTCTCCATTTCTCAAGGCTCAACTGGAAGATTTGTATCATAACTCTCATGTAATACTCACATTATAGTAAAATTATGGTCTCTGTGCCTGTCTCAGAAACAATACTATTACTAGATTCTGTGGTCAGAAATTGTGTCTTTCACACACACACAAAGGATATTTGTATCCTTTCTACCTACCACAGTGCCTACCTGACTCATTACAGGCAGAGTATAATATACCTGAAACTCATCTGAAAGCAATTTCTGTATTTTACAAAAAGGGCAGCAGCTTGAAACACAGCTGCTTACTCCTACAGGTGAAATTGTTTTTTTTTTTTTTAGGTTATATCTCTATACAAAAGGGATAAGGCAATCAACCACATAAAGCAATGGCAAAAGTCCTACACTGAGACAAAGTCATTTTCTAATCTGGTTTGCTTTGATTGACCTAATTATATCAGTCATTAATAACTTTCAGATTTTTCTCTTTAGACATATAGACATAGTTTAAAGATACTGGAGTTTCTCAACTTAAAATAAATTGTTCACAAATTTGCCTGTAAATTTATTTTCAATTATTAAACATTATTAGGTGTTTAGCATTTACTAGCATCAAGTGGGTTTGCATCAATAATTCTGTGTTTTGTTGAATTTCTTAAAAATTGAAAAATATACAAATTAATGTCCAGTCATGCATTTGCAAAAGGAATATTTGCTAAGGAATCAAAGTTATTGTAATTTTTAAGACACTTTAAATACAAAATGATCTACAAACAAGAGTAACAAAATGCTCTTCTATGAAGCAAAAAGCTTCCCTAGTGATTCTCACCTATCTTTTCTTCTCTTTTTTTTGGCATGATGCTCTTTTTCTTCCACCACTGGGCCTGCCTATTTTCCTCCCTTGCTATCCACAGTCAGCCTTTCGTGGCCTTTACAGGACTTGGTCACAATGTTGCATCAGAAAGCACATGTTACTGTGACAGGCACATACTTTGTAATACTCCAGGAGAATCTGCATAATCTTTTTCAGTCTTTTCACCAGCAATGAGTGTATGTTATCTTAGTAACGAATCAGCCAATATCCTGTTTGCCATGCAAAGCCATGTCATAGCTAGCATTATTAAAGGGGCAAGGGATGAGAGCCCATTTCAAGTGGAATAACAATATCTTTCCAGGTGGCAGAAATTCTGAAATGCCTCTGGCTCTGGGATGAAGGCTAAGTCCTAAGGATGCCTGGCATTTGTAACTCCGACTGCAGTTCACATTCATGTGGAGTCAACATTAGCACAGTGCTTTTCTGATGTCATACATAAACGGATGTCATGCAGAAAATAAGGAGCTCCTCAGGGCTTGGGAGAGTTGCAGGTAGTTTGACTAAATTTGGACTCCTTAACTAGTGGTGGCTTAATAGATAAAACATAGAATTTTTATATGAGTTTAAAGAAGAGTCTCATTCCTTTTTGAAGAAAAAACCTCAAAGATAACTTCCCTGCACTGGGACAGGGTGTCTTAGATTGTTTTTCAGAGTTAGTAATTCAAAAACTTAGTCTAAATGTTTCCACAATGATTTTTACTCTTCCCTTTCAAATAATAATAAAAATTTAAAAATAGTCTTGGTCCACAGAAAACAAACTCCATAAACATCAACTATTCTTTATTTGTTATAAATGAGAAAAATATCAATCTTAAACTGCAACCTTTAACACAAGAAGATCTTGTTCATAGAATGTATTTTTATATCTTGGCAAAAATACTTTCCTAATTGAAATACAAGATCACATACTTAGTTTGTACTGATTTTATACATCAGAGGGTTTTTTTTTTTAAGTTCTCTAGCTCAAAAAATTTCAAAACTGTGTCTTAAAAAACTCAAAATTACTAAAGAAAAAATTAATATAGAAAAAACTTTTGTCTAGACAATTTAAATAAATCAATAGAGCCCTGATCTTTGCTTAAGGCCTAATAGTTAGGGGGCTGAGATCTCAGGGACTTGCCTAGGCTTTCTGATATGGCTAGCCTCAATAAATAGAAATGGAATAATTGTGGCTAAATACAGCCATGTGTACCAGCCTGGGCATTCATTCATTGTTATATAATATTATAATCCTGGGACCATAAGGAGCATATATCTAGCTCTTGATGGTTCTATGTTCTATCAGGAAGCATTGCAGCAGAATAAGCCCTCATTTTTTAAGGTCTAATTTTTCTTGCTGATATACCTAAATTATAAAGACTTTTTAGTACATTAAGTTTATGGTTGTCCCTAGCAACTGAGTAGTAAATTTAGCCTACTAATTGCTTTTCTGTATTTTGCCTTAATAATAGTATTTAACATTTACTGAATACTTTTATGTGCCAGGAGTTGTTCTAAGTCCTTTAATTATATTAGTTTATTTATTCCTCACTTAAATAATTAATTCTATGAGTCAAATGCTATTTATCTCCATTTAATAGATGTGAAGACCCAGTTATAATTTTATATAAGCCCCCAAGTCATACTTTGAGCCACTATGTTATGTTGCCTCACACTTTAGATTTTTAAGCCAGAAATTATTCTGTTAATAAAAAGGAAGGTCATATGAAGTAATTGCTTTGCAATTGATTCTATTTTAAATAAAATGAACAAAACTTTTTATGGTACTCTCTATGTGCCAAGCCCATTATAAGCACTTTAAACAAATATTAGTTTATTTAATCTTTACCCCAGTCTTATAAGGCAGGGACATTATTATTCCTATTGTGTGGAAAAGGAAATTGGGACACAGAGAGACTAAGAAGCTTGCCCATGGTCACCCAGCTGGTACATGATAGAAATTCAGGGGAAAAATACCATCACACCAATTCTTGCAATTATTTTAATTTAACATTCTAGTCCTGCTACTGCTGTCTCTGAATAAATTGTTCCATCTTTCTAAATCTTAGGAACCTCATTTATAAATTAAAGGTGGGGGGACTCCATGATCTATAAGGCCCTTTCGAATACTCCTATTTATTCAGTACAAAAACACCTGAAAAGTCACTTTGAAAAAAGCTTGTTCATGCCAGTCTGAAGCTTCACAAGCTCCAGCTTTTTATTTGACTGTGCATTCTGACAATTTTCTGTATTTCTCTAAGAGTGGTCTGGAAAGAGATCTAGCAGGAAATGAAGAATGTAGAAAGTATTTTGATGGTCTCCAGAAGTGCCAACTTCAACTCAGCATCTGCCAACAGGTCTAGATAATCCTCCAAACTCTGTGTAAATCCTGGATCCACCATTTACCAGCTGTGTAACCCTGGGCAACGATTTCATCTTTCTGACCTCACTGTCTTTCTCTGTAAAACAAGGATAATAATAATCCTACTTCACTAGAGTTGCTGTGATTCGTACAATAGTATTTAGGCCACAGTAAGTACTGAGTGAAAATTAGCATTATTATTGCAGATTTCTGCTCCTATGAAAATTAAGATTGCAAATCACTAGACTTACATACACTTCCTCTGAAGTCTAAAGAAATCCTAGGCTCCTCCCAAGATTTGGAAAGTCGAGATTAGAAAATTGATCTTTTACTATCTTCAGAAAAAAATTTCTAGTTAAATTGTTCAATAGTTAAGTTAGATATTATCTGATCTGGAACTGAGTTAGGTTGCTGAAATCATTTAATTTCAGAGGGACTGTGTGTACAATATCAACATGAGCTAGATTTCATTTAATCTGATTAATATAGCTAGGCAATCAGTATCATCAAGTCTAGTCAGTTTGTTATAGGAATTTTCTAAAGTTTGTGAGATATAGACATTATTCTGCCCATTCCTCCTTAGTTAAGCTAAGAGGTATTAGTTTTATTATTTGCTATATGCCACTTAGCATTTGATAAATGTAGCATTTACAGTGCATTCTCCGAGGACTGGAAACAGTATTGTAGAATACCAGAACCTGTTTTCCCTTTTAAGTAACACGCTATCTCAGTATATAAATTATCCACTACCTAAGGTAACGGAGAAGAAAACCTAAGGAAGTTTGACATTTATTTTGGAAGTGTGATAAAGCAATTGACACTGGTGAAATTTAACACTACCTTGAGGTCTCATTACACTTGCTTGTCACTCCCTAGTGCAAACTCACTTTTGCTTTATAGAGGAGCCAATATATTAATCTGTAGCCTTAAAGTGAGTTATTAGTTTAATGTAGATCCAATCTGAGAATAAATTAGGTCCTTTTAAAATGTATTACAGAATGTTGCACTAATGGTAGTTGATGATGTATATTCACTTTTTGTGTGGGTACAAATGTGATATGATTACATCCAGGACAAGACCCTGAATTTAAGTAAGGCTTTTAGAGCTGAAGGAGATCACAGAGAGTCTATCATCCATCAGAGGCCCAAAGGGATTAAGTGATTTGTCTAAGGTTATACAGATAATAGGAGGATATCGCAGATTTCAGGCTAGACTTTCTTGAGTTCAAGTTGAAGGAAGGTCCATTCTTCTAAAGTATGCATTCAGAAAACATATTATAACGGTAATAATAATTACAATAACCACCATTTATTGAATACATCCTCTGGGCCAAGTGTTCTGCTGGACTCCACACATAGAAGCCCTTCTCTGACCCCGACCCTGTTCTATTCCCCTCATAGCTCCATGAGGTATGTCTGGCTCTCTTCATTTTATAGACAGATGTCAGACTCCGGATTTGTGACTTGTACAAGGCCACACAGCTAGGAAATGCCAACAGCTGGGTCCAGCTGGGTCAGCTCTGAATCTTCACTCTTTCTACAGGACTAGCTGCTTTGCCCAAGGGGACCAAAATGACCACATCTTGTCTCCTGGTTTTGAAAATTAACAAATTCACTTTTAATGACATCAGGTGTAAACAATCTACCAAATTATTAAAACATTATCTTTTTGCCTATGCAGGCCATGGATTCAAGACCATGAACTTATAATCAGTGATATCCAAGAGGATGGGAAGGGGATATTAAGCCTGGTGCTTTGCAAATTAATGCTTGGAGGTAAACAAGGAGTATCATAGGAAATTACTATTTCCTTAACTTTTCATTCTATTTGAAAGAGAAATTCCCAAATGCTAAATACTACCCTATATTATAATCCTAAAATTACACTGGACATGTGACAATGGTGCTGAGTACTTTGGGGGAAGGTCACAACAATCCTGGTAGCAGTGTCATAGCAAAATATTTTAAATGTACCACATGAGTTAGCTCCAAGGCAAAATGAGGCAATATTATGTTTAACTGTTTGTTTGGAAACTTCTTTTATTAAAAAAGATTTAAATATTAATGCTATTTTCAATACAGGTGTGATAACACTCAATAAAGCATAGTGTAATTTATATAAATTTCGGAATGTAACAGTCCATCTAGTTCCTGGCCCCCTCCAGTCTCCACCACATACCCTAGTAGCAAAACATATACACCCTTTTAAAAAATAAAGAAGCTTTTGGGCATTGGGTGAGCAGAGTGGGGTGGGGCAAGGAAAGTGTTCTTTCCTGAATTACTCACACTTTTGGCTTTGACTTCAGTTAGTAACATCAATTCTAAGAAAACTGGGACAAACTCTTCTACGTTCCGCAAAGGGAGGGAGAAAAAAAGCCTGCCATTCGCAAGCGGCTATGGGCAAAACCAGCGCAGAGTACAGGGGTCGGGAAATTAGAGATTAAAAAAAATTGGAGTAAAGTGCACAGTTACCGTCAAAAATATATTATTTTGATCCTAAGAAAATTAAAAGAATTTTTATCTAATGGACTAGATTGCTGACCTTTTAACACATTTGGTTTTCATTGAACATACAATCACCATCGGACATAAAAAGACCAGTTTGCTTTAAAAAAAATTCCTTGGAGTTATCTACAGGAATCTTGTGGACGCAATTCAAGGATAACATTCCGCAGCTCTTTGGATATTGAATGATGTCCTCGGATAAGTCCACAAAAGAAACAGGGGCCTGTTAATGCACTGATTCAAGTAGGCGTTTCTCCCATTTTCTCCCTCCTTCTCCCCCGACCCCACTCCTTTCTCTAAATGTCTGTGCTTTCCAGTTCTCCTTCTACCCCTATGGCATGAGACCTGGAAATCATGAAGAGTTTCTCCTTGTTTGTAAACTGCCTCTGCATCGGCTGAGGTTGCTCGGCCGTGGATGGCTCTTGGCTGGCACCCTCCGGGGAGCTCTGCTCCGCACCCGGAGCGGGGTCGGCCACAGAGTCTGGCGTTTGACCCGCTGCTGCGTCCAAGACCGACTCCGAGGAGGTGCCGGCCTCCCGCAGGGGGGTGTAGCCCTTATTGCTGCTGGATGGGTCATCCGACTGGGAGCTCCCCGAGTCCCGCCGGGTGGGGGGCGAGTCCTCCAGCCGCAGGGGTGGCGAGGTGGAGGCGGCTTTGGCCAGAGGGCTCGAGTCAGGGTCCGCACTGCCCCGGGAGGGCGGGGGTTCGGGGGACGGCGGCGCCCTGTAGTCCGGGAGCCCGCTGGTGCTGCGGCGCCGCAAGGCCGCGTACCTGCCGGTCCTGGGCAGGCGGCCGCCCTGCCCCCTGGCGGCGCGCGCAGCTACCGCGCCTTCGGGCTCCTCCAGCTCTCCGCGCGCCGGGCGCACGCTGCCCTCGGCTCCGCG